ATGAGTTATCACTGAGCAATTACCTTTCATGTTTAATAGTGATAAATATGTAGCAGTATTGAGCATTCCTTCTCAAATTCTGCAAAGAGAAACCCAAACCTGAACACAAGGAGCGCCCTCATGCTGAATCAGGCTATCTTATCCATCAAGATCAGGAGTGCCTACTCTGACTGGCAGTAGTTCTCCAGGGTCTCAGGTCATGTACTTCACCTATTCTTTTTCACCGGGGATTAAACCTGGGTCCTTCTGCACGCAAAGCAGATGTTGTAACAGTGAGCCACGGCCCCTCCCCTAGGCAAACGGTATAAGCCCAATGTATGCCCTCAAAATAAACTTGTGTGGGATCAGTCTAATCAGTGCTTAACCCCAGTGATAGAGAATCTGTAGCCCTGATGGGATACCAGACTACACCGATCCTCAGTCTTAGCATTGCACCTTGACATGCATGGTGTAGTGGTCAGAGTGTCACATTAGTTTGTGGGAGACCCAGGTTCAAATTGCCACTCTACCATGGAAGGTCGCTGGGTGACCTTGGGCCAGTCACACACTCTCAGCCTGACTTAACCTCACAGGGTTGTTGTGAGGACAAGATGGAGGAAAGGAGAATGATATAAGCTGCTTTGGATCCCTACTGAGGGGGGGGAGGTGGGGTATAAATGAAGGAAATGAAGACATGACCACATTCCTCTTGCTCGCTGGTGCAACCCACTCCCGATCTAGCTTTCACTGTCAAAAACTCTTTTAATGCTTTTTGTATTACAAAGCATTGTGGAGAGAGGTAGCCCCCACTGAGGACTGCTACATTTGCTAGCTCTAAAGACCAAAGCTGTTTGTTTCTTTACTTTGCCGGTACATAAACCTAGTAAATTGCTTGCCCACCCCAGGACCCCGCATTACAAGTCACTCCAAACCATCAGGGGGTTTATGACTCAGCTATAAACATCACGGTTGTCTTTATTCCAAGAAGCTCTTAACCTAGATGCAGCTTTTTGTCTTCCCCGTCCCTCTGCGATACGGGCTTGTGCCAGTAATTCGTGCCATTGTGTGGCAAAACGCTAGATTTAAATGGTGGCGTTCGGGAGACAAGCGAACAAATGCCTCTACCAGGTGGCAAAAAGGAGATTCCCACCCCGGGGCACTCCTTGTGACCTGTTAAACTAGGCCAGGCTGGTAGAGCAAATCGCAGCCCTCTGCCACCTTTCAAAGGAGGGAGCTCTGCGGCTTGGATATCCTTCTGCTGAAGGTTTAGTGCCTCTCTTGCAACAACTGGCTTACCTGTGGAAGCTCACCTGCCAGGCAGTGCTGGAAAAGGTACACAAAAACAGTATTGTTCTAGAGTTAACATTCAAATACGTCTGGCTGCCTTCCCAGAGGAGGGATCATACAAGTTTCTACTATGCATGAAGGGGCACACACATGAAGCTGCCTTATACTGAATCAGACCATTCAGGCTCTGGCTCAGTGGTAGAGCATCTGCTTGGCATGCAGAACGTCCCAGGTTCAATCCCCAGTATCTCCAGTTAAAAGATCTGGCTGTGGGTGATGTGAAAGACCCCTGCCTGAGACCCTGGAAAGCCACTGCTTGCCTGAAATAGACAATAATGACTTGGATGGGCCAAAGGTCTGATTCAGTATAAGGAAGCTTCATGTATTCATGTGTTGGTCCATGGAAGAAGAATAAGAAGAGACTGGATTTATACCCTGCCCTTCACTTGGAGTCTCAGAGTGGCTTACGATCTCCTTCTCTTCCTCTCCCCACAACAGACACCCTGTGAGGTAGGTGGGGCTGAGAGATCTCTTTCGAGGACTGCTCTTGAGAGAACAACTCTGAGAGAACTTGTGACTGACCCAAGGTCACACCAGCAGCTGCATGTGGAGGAATGAGGGATTGAACCCAGTTCCCCCAGATTAGAGTCTGCATTCTTAACCACTACACTAAAGTCAGTGCTGTCTACTCAGACTGGCAAGCAGCTCTCCAGGGTCTCTGGCAGAGAGTCTTTCATATCCCCAGTCTTTTTAAACTGGAGACGTTGGCGACTGAACCTGGGACCTTCTGCATGCAAAGCAGAGGCTCTACCACTGAAAGTCACACACCACTGACAGATATTCCTTCTGTCAGCAGAAATTTCCAGGGGATCCAAGCCAATCTACAGATGCCATTTTTCTGCAGATGTAACAAGGAGGAATAAAGCAGATAGTAAAACTTTTCTAATACTTGTATGTGCATTCTGGCCTGGGAAAATCCTACTTGCTAAACTCTTTGTTGTCGTTCAGCCGCACAGTCAAGTCCAACTATTCACATCCCCATGGACCACATCATGCCAGACCCTCCTGTCTTCCACCATCCTCTGGAGTTTGCTCAATTTCATGTTTGTTGCATTGGTAACACTGTCTGACCATCTCATCCTTTGCTGTCCTCTTCTTCTATTACCTTCAGTCTTTCCCAGCATCAGGGTCTTCTCCAGTGAGCGCTCACTTCTCATTTGGTGGCCAAAGTAAACTCTTTAGCGAACTTTACTCGATCATACAGCAGCATTTGACACAGTCGACCATGATCTACTGACCCACCGTCTTGCCGACACCAGAGTCCGTGGGGTAGCCTTGCAATGGTTTACCTCATTCCTCTGCAGTTGGGGACAGAGGGTGGCACTGGGAGAGACAGTGTCCCCAAGGCACCCGCTAGTGTGTGGGGTTCCTCAAATGGGCACTTTTCTCCCCAATGTTATTTAACATCTATATGTGCCCCCTTGCCCAGCTGGCGTGGAGTTTCAGGCTGGGATGCTGATGACACCCAGCTATTTCTGTTGATGGGTGGCCGACCAGACACCGTTCTCGTGAATTTAGCCGAGGGTTTGGAGGCCATGGTAGGGTGGTTAAAGCTGTCAGTTGAAACAGAATCCTGGTAAGATGGAGGTTCTATGGCTGGGTGGGGAGCCACAGTTGGGATGCCAACTCCCAAGTGCCCCTAACACCAGCATCGACCATTAGGAGTCTGGGCATGACTCTAGACACCTCCTTATCAATGCGAAGGCTGCCAGGCTGGCGTTTCTCCAACTGTGTCAGGTCAGGCAACCGATTCCCTACCTGTCTCACTCTGACCTAGAAACAGTAATCCATGCAATGGTCACCTCTAGGATAGACTACTGTAACTCACTCTACGTGGGCCTACCCTTGAGGCTGACCCGGAAGCTCCATCTGATCCAGAATGTGGCCGTATGGGTCCTTACGGGGATCCCTCAGATGGCACACATCCAACCTGTGCTGTGCGAGCTCTACACTGGCTTCTGGTAGAGCACCAGATCAGGTTCAAGGGGCTGTTTTTGACCTTTAAGACCCTTAGTGGTCAGGGACCCACATACCTTCGGGACTGCCTCTCTCAGTATGCCCCCAGAAGAATGTCACGCTTGGGGAGTAAGAACCTCCTGGTGGTCCCCCAGCCTGAGAGAGATCTGGCTGTCCTCGATCAGGGCCAGGGCTTTTTCAACCCTGGCCCCCACCTGGCGAAACTCGCTGCCAGAGAACATCCATGCCCTGTGGGATTTGTTACTTTTCCACAGGTCATGTAAGGCAGAGATTTTTGTGAACTAGGTAGTAATTCATTCTACCAGTCATTCTATCAAAGAAACTGGGTCCCACCATAGAGATGTAAAATTTCCAGAAAGTTTAAAGTCATAGGGGAACCCCCTCCGTGTTTTTTTCCCCAGGCCTTCACATCTCTACCTAGGATTGCCACTCCCGGTTGGAAAATTCCTGGAGATTAGGCAAGAGGTGGAGGAGACGGTGGGGTTTGGGGAAGGGAGGGACCTCATCTGTTATTTGGAGATCAGTTTTAAATCCAGGAGGTCTCCAGGCCCCAACTGAAGGCCCCGACCTATTAGAGTTGCCAACCACCAGGTGGGGCCTGGAGAGCTCCCAGAATTTGAACTGATCTCCAGACTATAGAGATCAGTTCCCCTGCAGGAAATGTTTGCTTTGACAGGAGGACTCTATGGAATTTCAGAGGTCCCTCCCCTCTCCAGACTCTATCCCCCCAAATCTCCAGGAATTTCCCAACTTGGAGCTGGCAATCCTATCTTTATCCTACCATGATAGAAACAAAAAGCACACTTTCCCCATGGACTTTTATCTGTTTACAGGTATTGTGTCACTATATATTTATCATTTATACTAAGTTTTAAAGACATAAACAATTACAGAAGCACAGTGGATAATCCCTGTCTGAAGAGGCATATCCAGGACACTTGCTGGTGGGCACTGGGGGATAGTGCAGGATTAGGGAAAACCTGGAGGGTCTAGGATTACTGCCAGCATGCCTGAAGGTCACAGATGGATAATCCGTGGAAGGTAGGGCCAGCAGAAGGCATGTCACACTTACAGGTGGACACAGGGATCAAAGGAGAGCAAATTCTTAGTAACTGCTATGAAAACCCTGCATCCCATCTATACTACTACTCCGTCTCACCAGTGGTTCTACATACGGCAAGTTGAGAACCACCTGACTCGAGTCCACTTCCGTGCATCTAAATAAGTGGACTGTAATCCACAGAAGCCTTCACTGCTGGAATAAAATGTTATTGTCTTTAATGTACCACAAGACTCCTGTTTATTTTCCCATCTTGTGATCACATGAGCGGCTCCGGCACCTATTGGCTAATGCCTGGTCATAAGCAACTGTCTCTTCCTCCCTTTCTTCCCTCCCCTCCCCCTCCACGTCTGAGCCCTCTTGAAAAAGGTCAAGATCGTAGGTAGCTGCAGCCCTGCCGTTCCACACAGAAAAATCCACACCACAGCAGTGTAACACCTTTTTACTAGGACCCATTATATCATTTAAAGAATTATTTGAAGCGACTGGATACAGTTATACCACAACAGCAGGTACACTCAGCCAGTCTTTTAACATGAGAATTAGGGTGAGGCGGGGAGAACAGGTGAGAACCTTTCACAAGGACCAGCAACACCACTGCAGAGCCAGACGTCCCCTGACTGTTTTCCTTCTATGGCTCCAAACCCTGCCTCACCCCCAAATTCACTTAACCCATTCTTTGCCTTGCCCAGCACAGCAATTCCCCCACCACACAGCTCATCCTTCTCCCACTGGGTAGAAACAGGGTTACATGGAGCAAACGCTCGTCTATCCTCGAGCATAAATTATTATTTTCCAAGGCCTTCAAAAAGGAGAACCCAAAAGATGTCAGAAAGAGGGGAAAGGGTTTACCGCTGGGGACTAAAGACAGCGCAAGATGCAAAGGGAAACGTAGAACCGGGGGTGGGGACAGGCAGGATTTCCTATTGTTTTTCCTACTCCACAAGCAATGGAATAAGTAGTCTACAAAAGCTGTGGCACCTTTCCTTCCTTTCCTTAAAAAGCCCCAAGGGCAAGACAGACAACAGTTAGGGATACTCTGGGCCTTAAACAGCCTTCTGCTGCAAGGAGTTCCTGGCAACTCCACGGTTCTCTCATAGTGCAAAAGGAAAGCTGAGGCAACATCTGTACAACATTTTACGTGGCTTGTAAATAATGCAGCAAATACAAACTCCATCTCAGAGAGACGCTCGGGAGCGTCCTCTAATCCAACTGCAGGCCTCCCCTTTACCGCCAAGGACACGGATTTAGGAAAGGAGAGCGACCCCCTTTTATTTGCCATGCTGGGCAGATGGATCTCCAGTTGCTGTCAGCAGGCGCCTCCTTTTCCCTCCCCGCGAGTGGAGCAGTCAGAAGGGCAGCCCACCAATTCCAGGCACAGCCGACAGACCCAGGCTGTGAAGCGTCGCTCAGTTGAGCAGCTTTAGCTTCCCAGTCACCTGATTCACCATCTCTTCTTCTCCCATAATGGCAAGAACTGTATGGGACCCAGCCGGAATCTGAAACAGAGAAGCCGTGACATAGCTGGTACAAACAGTGCGTAGCTTTTCCTTTGGGGAAAAAAGGGACTGGAAACTAAGATTCCAGGCATGATTCAAGGTGCTGTTCTTGACATACAAATTCCTAAACAGTCTGGGACGCGGGTAGTCACAAGGCCACGAGAAGCTGCCGAGGAAATGAGATCTTCTCTGGAGACCCTTCTCTGGGTGTCCTTCCCTTCTGAGGTCAGGCAGGAGACCGATAGGGCCTTTTCTGTGGTGGCGCCCCGCTTTTAGAATTCCTACCCCAAGAAGCTCTACCTGCTACAACCTGTGATATCATTTAGACACCAGGCTAAGTCCACTTTCGTTTTCCCAAACTTTAAATAGTAATTAGTTCTATAGTCTGTATGGGTGATGATTTCTTTTTCTTTGGTTCTTATATTGATCTTTTTCAGGGCTTTTTTGTGTAGTGGTGCTCACCAGGGCCAGCACCTTGGAGAGGGGATCTCCCAAGTTGGGGGGGGGGGGGGAATTGGTGGGAATTGGTGCAGCCTAATATATGAGTACTAGCACTTTTTTTTAGACTCAAAAAAGCAGTGATCTTTTTGGATTTAATGATATTTCATGAGTATATTATTATACCATAACGTTTTGGAAAGCTGCTTTGAGGACTCTCCGGAGTGGAAAGATGAGGTATAAATCTTTTAAAAACAAATACAGTGGGAGTTGTAGGTGGGAGTAGCTTCATCTTGACCTAAATGTTCTTCAAGAATGGGATTGTAGCAACATATGCAACTGCTTTTGAATCAGGAGAGGATTAGAGCGGTACTGCTTTGCACTGAATAGAGCCCAAAATTAATTTGGGAAAACAATTCAAGTTCTTCTTACTAAAAATTTCCCTGTAAGAGATTAAAGAATAATCTAATTAAAAAACGCAAATTTGAATTCCATAAAAATTTGCCCAAATATTAAGTGTGCTTCACTCATAGCTAATTACTACGAGCGTAGGATCAGCAAGGCTGAAATTTTATGACGGGCTGCAAAACACAGGACTAAGTATCAGTTCGGAAGGCCCAACAGAAAGCTTTGGAAGACAGAACCTGACCAGCAACTTTGCAGCTGTGAGATTATGCTTTGTTTGGAGCCTTTTTCAGTCTACATTTCCAGCACTTCTACCTCCGATGTACCTGGACAGCACACTGTCATTTTGCCTGACTATTCTGGCTTCAGTACATGCAATGAAATCCCCTGATTTTTCGGGACAGACTTACGCATGCTGAATCCGGAATGTACATGTGTTGTCCGATTTAGACAAAACAGCATGTGCACACACCAAGATGTTTGTGCGCAGTGTGCTCCCATGGTATGAGCACCAGAAACAGCTGCTGAAAAAGGCTCAGATCACAGATGTACAGCTATGACTTCGGTAGGAAGTGAGCCACATTGTCAAAATACTTTGGGGAGGGGCTCTGGCTCAGTGGTAAAGCATTTGTTTGGCATGCCAAAGGTTCCAGGTTCAATCCCCAGCATCTCCAGCCTTTAAAAAAAACGACTGTGGGCAGTAGGTGATGTAGAGAGCCACTGCCAGTCTGAGTGGATAATACTGACCCTGATGGACCAAGGGTCTGATTCACTATAAGGCAGTTTCATGTGTTCATCCCAACATTTATACAAGAGAGCTGAAAACCTGTGGGCGGTTTCTGGCTCAGAAATCAGAAGGGAGACTCCCAGTGGACAGATGGTACAACCGCTGCCTTCAGAACAGATCTTCAGCTCTTCCACTCCTTTCGCCCCAGTATCCTGTGAATCCCAACCTTCCTCTCCCAGTTTGAAGGCAAACAGAATGTTCCATATTCCAAATTTTGCTCTCCCACCAGTTTTGCAGCTGGAACAAAGAGCAGGCAAGTATACGCAAAAGAACCCAGTGCGTCTCATCCATCACTGCAGAAGAATTCCAAATCTTCCTTTTATCTACTTATGAGATACACAGAGACCTACAAGACCCAAGATGCATTAGCCTGGTCCCAAATGACGTACCCCAGTCAGGGCCGGCTCCAGGTTCTTTTGTACACGAGGCAAGGCTACCTTCTGGCGCCCCACCCTGCACCCACCAATTACGGGGTTGCCAACATCCAGGCAGGACCTGGAGAGAAGGAAGACTTTCCTTGCACTGAAAAAAATCACCTGCTTAAGGCTGGGGTGGGGGCTGTCTTCCCAGTCCCGGAGTTGTCTTCCCAGTCCCAGAGACGCCGCCCCCCCCGGGGGGGGGGAGGTGACCCAGGGTGGGGAGTCTGTTCCCAGGAGCCGCCATGTCACTCTGGGGGCTGCAGCAGAGTCCTCCATTAGAAACCTGGCATCCTCCCTCGCCTTCCTCAGCCCTGGCACGCCTGCTGCTGGGTGCTCCCGCGGCGGAGGCCAGGCCAGTTGGCTGCCGTTTCTGGTGCCCGCATTCCCCGGGGCTCCCAGCAGGCAAGCCTGCCCTGCGGTCTGAGCGCCCACCCCCACCCTGTGGACACACAGGTGCGGGAGGCCAGCCACCTCCAGGATATGGCCGAGTGTGCCCGCTTCCCTTGGAGCACCAGCCCAGCTCCTGGCCGCTTGCCGGCCGCACCTTCAGGCAAGCCAGGGCAATGCAAGGCGCAGCGCTGGGGAAGAGATGCGGCCGGTCGGCTGGCTGACGACGCGCGCCGCGGCCAGAGGAGGCCCCTTTTGGGGGCAGCCGGGGAGAAGTTCATGTCCCAACTCCACGGCTGAAGTTGCCACAGGGAGAAGGGACGGGCGGAGGAAGAGACCCACTCCGAGGCACCCTTCTCCCATGATGGTCCCGTCCACCGAGGCCGAGCAGGCAGGGCAGAGGGGCGCCCTTGCCCGCCCGCCTTCTTCTCTCTCTCCCTCCGGGGCAGGGCGCCACCGCTGCACTTCTCCCTCCTTCCTCCACTCCCCTCCCTCCTTCCCTCAGCGCCGGAGCCCGAAGATGGCGCTGTGCAGGGAGCGGGCCCGGGACTCGCTCAGAAGAACCCAGCAGAACCAGCGTTTTACAGAGGAGGGCAGGAAGGTCTGGGAGGGCAGCAATGTGTGCACTACACTTTTGGCGGGGGGGGGGGGCTTTTGGCAGTTTGCCGCCCCTATCCAGGACCTGCTCTAGGCGAAAGCCTAGTTCACCTAGCGGGTGGGTTGGCCCTGACCCCAGTCAGAATACAGGCCTGTTCCAGAACAGCCAGCAGGCTTACCTGAGTCCTCCCTGCATCTTGCACTAAGTACGTTGGCAGTTCCAGGCTCAAAGCCAAGGCGTGCAGCTCTAGCAACTGGTCAGTGTTGGATCCCTGAAGCACCACTTTTTTTGCACTGAAAAGGGCAAAGCAAGCTGGGATATAAGATCAGCTTTACCGTCCCAAAACTCACAGATCATTCCAAAAAACACTGCCCAGAACAAACAAACTCTGGAGAACCTTAATTCCATTTTACAGAGAAGCAACACAGAGGTCACCGTACAACCTAATTTCACATCTTGTGGCCTATACAGAGAACAGCGCAGTAGCCGTGTTTTTTTGTTTTGTTTGTTTAATGTGTTTGATGACTGTTATTGAAGGAGTGAGGATAGAGCTATCACAGCTTGGGCATCTAGGACTTCTATGCTTGTGCATGGGTCCCCAACTTTTTTGTGTCTGTGGGCTGTAAGGAACAGAGGTTGTAGGACCTAGCCTTGCATGTTCATTATATTCAGCTGTGAGATTTTGTTATGGGGGAGAATCGTCCTTGTAAACCTCCCTAATCTTTTTACAAGCCAGAAGGGTTAATTAGGGAGTTGAATTCTTATCAGCTGGCAGGCGAACAGACCTAAGAAGAGGGAGCTACTGTTGTTAGGCACTCTCTCATTAGGCTTCACAGGGTGGGGCCGGCTATACTCTGGGCTGAAATGATCCAGTTTCTCCTACCTGATAATGGACTGTTTTAAGGAATTGGCCTCACAGAAGTGAGTTATTGTTTTCATTGGTCCTGTCACCTGGCTTTTTATTGTTTATTTGCCGTTGCTTGTTATGATTGGATGTATCCTGCTTTGCTTACGTCCCTTCTACTACAACTAAATTTTCAAGTTTTCTTTTTTAAACCTTGTCTTCAGAATTTATTTTGCTGAGTGACTGCATTTATCTACATAAGCGAACCCCAAGGTCTTTGGGACCAGACATGGTGGCAGTGGTCTTAGAATATAATTGGCAGCACCAGCAGCGTTCTGTGATAAGATTTTTTTGTTGTTGTTTTTAAGAAAGCAGGGCAATAAGCAAGGTTTTTTTCTCCCTTTTTTCCCTTATTTTTTTTTTTTTTAAAGAGGATGAATCAGAATGAGACGTTGGTGGTTCCCACTGATGAACTTTATTTTGGAGCTCACATGATGAATGCGCTGGGAGCCTCTGGAGGTCACACAATGTTTCCTGAGAGGCTCTATGGTGCATAGTTACTCTTTGAAGACTCTCTGAGAGCTGTTAAGGGATGTGTTCTGGATCATAATGAAGCTACCCCTACACGAAAGGAAGTCTTGTGTTTAGAAAATGATCCATTATTGCAAGGTCAGACACAGACTGGCGACCGGGCAGAGCGTTCTCCCTTACAGCATATATCAGCACAGGATGGTGCCCAGATGGTTGGAAAAACCTTACTGACCCCGAGCCAGCATGCAGCTGCTCAGGATGGAGGAACTGTAGGGGCAGTCCTGAGGGAGCTACAAGACCAACAAGGAGCACCATCAGCTGGACAGGACCCAGTTCAACAACTCTGCACCCTGATGACACAGGTATTGGGGCAGAATGCCCAGCAAATGGCCTTGTTCCAAATGCATTTGACTCATAGGTGGACTAAAATTGATTCCCTGAATTTAATAATGGGGAAGAACGGACCTAATGAGAGAGTGAATAACCACAGTAGCTCCCTCTTCTTAGGTCCGTTCGCCTGCCGTCCGGCGGCCAGCTGATAAGAATTCAACTCCCTAATTAACCCTTCTGGCTTGTAAAAAGATTATGGGAGGTTTACAAGGACGATTCTCCCCCATAACAAAATCTCACAGCTGAATATAATGAACATGCAAGGCTTGGTCCTACAACCTCTGTTCCTTACATGGGCAACTTTGGAATTCTGACAAAGGGCAGTGGGCAAAATCACAAAATGGCTGCCACAGGAGGTGGGGCCATCCACAAAACATCAGGGATCAAGGTTATATGCACTCTAACAGTAACACTTCAGCATTTCAGGCAGAAGCTCTGTTTAACAGGATTCCTTTAAATCTGCACAGCCAATCAGAAACCCTGCTGGGGAAAAGCCTCACCTAGCTCCACCCACTTCCTAAAAGCGGCTGGCAGGCCCCAGGAAAGGTGTCAGGGGGCAGCACTGCAACTGTCGGGGCACCCCGTTGGGGACCCCTGTGCTGGTGCCTAAGAATCTGAAATATTTCTGACTTCTGTGCAGGATGGAGAGATCTTAACATCTGAAAGTTGTAAACATTTCCCCAGCCTCTGTGGAGGAAGCTACAGGTATGGAAGTCTGGCTACCACTAGCCCCATAAGCCAACTCAGCAGGCACCAGGCTGAAATGTAGCCAGCATGCAGAATCAGGTTAGGCAGGATTGGAAGCCTAAGACAAGGGACCTGTAGGGGACATAGCTGGCTCAGTCAAGCTAGCAAAGGGTCAGAACGCCAGATTCACTTGACCATACTACAGGTCAGCTCCCAGGGGAATCCAGAGGGGGCTTGAGAACCCCATCCAAGGGTCACCTCTTGAGTACAGCCCCTACTCTGCCACTTTCAAAAAGCTGTGCGATATCCTGGTTGACTTAGTGCATACCATGTGACTTGATGGTCGATGGCACAGCACATGCTTTGCACGCAAAGCCCCCCCCCCCCCGTTCAACCTCTGGCAGATCTCAGGAAGCAGGTGTTGGTAAAGACCTTTCCAAGTCAGAGACCAAGACTGTCCAATCGTCTGGTGCAGGAGTCCTCAACCTTTTTGAGTCTTTGGGCACCTTCGGAAGTCTGACACAGTGTGGTTGGTGCCGCCACAGAATGGCTGCTACAAAAGGGTTACTGCTGACAGTGAAGACAGCCATGAAATGTCTGCCGCACCTCCTTCAGTCACACAGTGAAGATCCTTGTGGTGTGATACCACCTGATGCCAAAGCAATGTTCTTAAAAATCGACACAGCCAATCAAATCTCCAGTGGCTGATCAGAAGACATGCTGGGCAGAAGCCCCACCTGGCCCTGCCCGATTTCTAAAAACATTTGGAGGGCACCAGGAGAAGTGCCGGCAGGAACTCAGCTGCCTATGAGCACCACGTTGGGGACCCCTGGTCTACTGAGATATTGTTGGGTATTACAAGTTGAAAACACTCAGTATATCTGGGGTTAAATGTTTGTTTATGTTACTCACAGGAAGTCACATGTTTTTCATGTAACCAATGTTCTTTAGCTGTAGTATACCCAAGAATTTTCTCCCTGATCTAGGAATTTGATTGGGACTAAAGTGTCAAGGTGTATTAGCATTTTATGGCTCTCTTCCCGTCTTTGTTTGGTGTTCTGAAGAAGAAGAAGAGTAGCCATAATCTCTCTCTTCTAGTTTTGCCTTTGTAGAGTAAGGATGTAGCAGATTTTGCTCTGTTGTTATTTTCATCCCAGTTACCCTTCCCATGCTAGAATTTAGTAAAAACTTTATATTTTAATCACACATGGACTCTGAGTCTTCTGGAGGATGGGGGCCATTTCTAGCCGAGGCCCACCTGTTGCTGTCTTACCCATGCTCCTCCCATTGGCTAAGAATGTCCTTGTGAGTAGACTTCTCCTGCATCAGCTGGAAAAGGCCAATGGCTGCATGCCCCACCTGAGCAGCTATCTGCAATGAGAAATATCAAATTGAGAAAAGCCATGGTATGGCTTTTGCCAAAGCAAAGAGCCTGGCAACAACCAAGACACAGCCGCTGAAGGAGGTAACCCCCCATCTTGTAACGACAACTTAGCTTAGCTTATCATTCAGGCCAATATCCCAACCAAACTCAGCTTGTATGCATCAGTCAGCACCTTTGTCAGTCGCGGCTGAATCTGAGTTGTTCTCCTGTATTCCCTCAAATGCCTTTTCAATATTTAGCCCCAAAAGAGGAGAACTGAATGAAGAGCCCCCTAATGATCCAAAGGCCTCTTTTCCTTGCTTTCCCTTTGGGCCCAGATCAGTTTTCTGAATCACATAAGCAAGTCAGCCATTGAAGCCATGATCCCGGCGGGAGTTTTACCTTTCCGGTTCCCATGGAGAGCTCCATGTTCACCACAAAGACCATCTTGAAGTAACAGCTGTCTTGGGCTTCATCTTCTTCCTGGAAAGAGAGTTTCAGCAGACCCCTTCCACTGTAGCCACTTGCCTCAGTTGCAGCTTCATGTAGGGGTTAGATAGCCAGACTAGGATCTGGGAATCCCAGGTTCGAATTCCCACTCAACCATGGAAGCTTGCTGGGTAACTTTGGGCTAGTCACACACTCTCAGCATAGCCTACCTACCTCACGGGGCTGTTGTTATAAGGATAACATGGTGGAGGAGAGACTGTTGCACGCCTCATTGGGGAGCAAAGCTATGCATGGTGGAGTTATTCAGAGAGTGTTTTTAATACTGACGCTTAATTGTTTTTGAGGGGACAGGTAGATCTGTTCATTCTGGACAGCTAGATTTGTTCATTCTGGTGGTTTTTAATTGTATATTATTTCTCTTTATTATCACTGTAACCCACATTGAGTACAGTTTTGGAGAAAGATGGACTAAAATGCTGTAAATAAACCACATTTTATTACTAGGAACAAGCATTCAAGATAGGCTAGCTTGCTTGACATCTAGTCCTACTTGAATTCAGTCACTGAAAGGATTAGATCTATGCAGGGCTTTTTTTGTAGAAAAAGCCCAGCAGGAACACATTAGCATGATAGGCCACACCCAACAGCAGAAATTCATTAGCATATTAGGCCACACCCTGACATCACAGCTCATTAGCATATTAGGCCACGCCCCCATGCCTTCCCTTGGCTTGGACAGGCCGGGTAAGGCACGGGGAGGCATTTAAATGCCTCCCTGATCCTTCCAGGGGCCCCTCTGGCCCGCCCGCCTCAGAGTCGCTGGGGGGAGGGTCGCTCTCCAGGTCTTTCCTCTGTAGCCACGCTTGCACAGAGGTTTTGGCTGTAGGCATGGGCGTGGCCAACTCAGAAGCCAGCCGGAACTCCGTTCCTGTGTGTTCCTGCCCAAAAATAGCCCTGGATCTATGGACTGATCACCAGACTACGCTATTGATTGATGGCCGCCATCATTTAATAATAGGTCTACTTTTAGTATCATTTATTGTTTATAGCATTTTTTAATGCTGTAATGTTTTTAGATAATTTTAAGATTGTTTAAATTGTTATTGGTGTGTCTATTCCTTATGTAAGCCGCCCTGAGCTGGCCTTGGCTGGGAGGGCGGGGTATAAATTTGAAAAATAAACATAAATAAATAAGCTGTGTGCGTGAGCGGCTGCTCATTAACACAGGAAACCCCGCTCAGCAGCAATCTGGAGCCGCACTCAAAGTCTTCCAGTGTCCATTTTAAGATTACAGCAGCTACATTCTGCTCAGGATGTGAACTGCTCCGCTCAGTGGGGGGGGGGGAATAGAGGGAACATTGGTTACAGTCCCATTTTATCACCTGATTCTCACTTCATTCTCCTGCATGTGTAAACCAGGCCTCAGGGGATTCTCCCAGGGTGTTGGTGTTTTTTTAAGGAGAAAGGGGAGAGGAAAGGCATTCAGGCATTCCTTAGTCTCCTTTGGATTTCAGCAGTTCAAGGAGTACATCAGCTCTTCCCTTGGGTTAGGATAAGATAGCTGAAGGGCAGCAGTCAACTCAGCTTCTCAGCTGGAATATTTAACACAGGACTGAGATCTGGGATCCAGGCTGCACCTAACCTCTTATTCAGAGGCCTAACATATTATAGCATGACTCCCCTGGCTCCTTGATGCTTCCTCCCCAGTCTGAGCTTTTCAGAAATGGAGAGGGAAGAAGAGTGTTATATTTATTGCCGATATACAAGGTGGATAATGTAAGAACAGAAGGCCCTGTCTTTCCATAAACGGCAAGGCTTATACATTATGATGTATAGCTTACACAGCCTTGCCATTTATGGAGAACAACAGAACTATTCGTTTACACAGCCTTGCCATTTATGGAGAACAGAACTATTCAGCTTAAGTAACATTCCATAAAGACAGACTGCCAGTTTTTCTTTTGTGCCCCTTCCCCTTGAAAGAAAGCACAATCACAAGTAAGCATACATTTGAGTAATGCGTTCATTCTTCTCTACTTGCCATGGCTGGAATTAAACATGCTCCTTGGGGCAGGGATCTGTCTATTTCAGTTTACAAAATTCATGGCCCTGTATTAATATTATGTATTCAGCACACAGACTGATCAGGAGCACAGCTGGCAAGTAAACAGCTTAATATATTACCAAGAGTTCTCAGGCCTCATTCACATATGCAGGAGACTGAGACGATAAAACAGAAGGCACCACTGAGATCATGCTGATGTATCCCATTAAACTGTAATCCTGTGCGTTAAAATCTTCCTGTAGAAAAGCAGGTAAAGTGTGTGTGTGGAAGGGATAAGAACCTACCTCTATGCTAGACTAGGTTTTTATTTGCACTCTACTCTTTATATTTTCCAAGCCATTCTACCACCTCATTCTCCTGGATTATCTCATAAGGGCATATGTGCATCTTTTAGAACTTTATTTATTTTCTTTCTATCTGGAGAACGCAAGTCCAGCACTGTTTTCAAAAGCACATCGCACAAGTAATGCTCTCGATTTTCTGTTCATCAGCAGTGTTCTGTATGAACCAACACAATGTTCTGTTAGAAACCAAAACATAACGTGGCTTCCGGTCTGGCTCCCGCGAAAGGCAGACGCATCCTTGGGTCGCTCCCGAGGGGCGTCTCGCCCGAGAAACCAAAACATAACGTGATAACTATATATAGCTATATATAGTTCCATATATATATGGAAAAGAAGAATATTGGATTAAGTACATGAAAAATAGTAGTAGGCAAAGAACAATCAGAAGTAAGCTTCCTTTGCCTGTTCTATGCAAAGACAGCATTTTATATTTTTATTGGAGGTAGCTATTCACAATAATAGCCAGTCGCAGAACCTCTGCTCCCCAATACTCTGCACATGTTCCACAGGGCTGTCTTACAAAGGCTCCTAGAGCTAGGCCCATGAAGTCTCTGCAACTGAGGAAGGATTTGCAGCGGTGGCATTTGAAGCCTAATTTGATGAACAGAAAAGACACAGAGACTAAGGTCGGGGAGAAGAACAGGCCAGGATGCGAGTGCCGGCAGGACCAGAAAGAAAATGAGCAGAGGAATTCGGAGCACCTACCTGGGAATCGAGGCCGCTACCGAAATAAAGCTGCGCGGCTGCTTCAGCGGATCGACCACCGGTGAGAGCCAGAGCCTGCGGGAAGAGGCGATCGTAAGCAGTGAACCCACAGCCGACCCTCCGTGCCCGCGCGTAGAGTCGACCCCCATCCACACGTGCAAGTTCGACCCACCCGCCGCGCTTCAGCCTCCGGGATCCCCAGTTCCAACAGCGGCGCTACTAGGGTCTCGTCTACATCGAACCCCCAACCCAGAGGTTGCGACTCCATTCTTAGCAGCTGGCGGCGCTCTCTTCTCCTATTGGCTTCCGTTGACGACACCCGCCCAATCAGATCCACCCGCCCATCGCGTCATTGCCCGGGGACCAATAACTTTGCCCGTTTCAGGGACTGGAACCAGTCGCCGAGCCCGCCGTCCAGAGCTTTGCGCCTTTTATCTTTCTGGTCCCACAATTCCAAAATCATTAATCTCCCAGTCCTGAATCCCTACCCGTGTGGCATTTTCGCACGTGACGAAACACGCGTTTGAGCCACAGCCCTACTTGCATGCAAGCAATGGAGTCGTTTTCACACGAGCCTCGTTTTCGCTTAAATGCTGCGATTGTCAAACCTTCCTGGACCAGAATGCACATCTGAATAACAAACGCCAGATAACAAAATCTCATAGAAATCTCCGTCATTCCTGGCTCCAGTTCCAGCTGACAGCTCGCCACCTCCCAGCTATCAATTCTTTTAATGTAAATTTATTTGAAATATTTATATCCTGCACTTTCTGTGTTAACATATCTACGTTGTGACTTGCCACATAATTTAAGAGCTTAAAACAATTACAATTAAAGCTCATCAGTGCGCCGTGGCCTTGCACACTGTAAAACGGAAGGAGGGTGGGCATTTGTATATATTGTAGTCTCTATAGGAGCCAATTGGGGTGGGTTGAAAGGGGGGATTTAAAACATAGCGAATAAAGAAACCCAAAATGACATAAGGGAGCTCGTGAAGATGGTAAGGATGCTGGTAATGCAGGATAGAAAGTGGAAGAGCGCCATTTTTAGAACGAATTCCGGAGGTGGCCTAAGACATTTTAGTGTTTCTACAAATCCAGTTGGTGCCCCCTCGTGGGTAAAAACCAACGCGACCTATTTCCAAGTAACTATGCATAGGATTGCACTGCAAAATAAATGGCAACTTGTTGACCCCTGAAATTTGCCGTGTGAGAAAAGTCCCGTCGCCCTGCCTAATGGGCGGCTTGTTTCTAACCTGTGTAGGCATTATATTTAGGGCTACAATCCTGCCGCAGCCTCAGCCATCCTATTGATGACCGGTTAATGCAAATCCAGATGTGAAATTCAGCAGACTCTCCCCCACACACATATCCTTTGCTTCTTGGCTCCCTTAAATTTGCCAGGTTACAGTGGGGGGCTGGAGCATGGTCAAAGGGGATATGATGCATTAACCTTGCTGAAGTGAAGGAAGTTTGGCTCTGTGCCTCAGGGAGAGATTGCCTGGGAATCCCATGGAGGAGGAAAGGTAAGGGGTTTCCAGCTCTGGATTGGGAACTGACAGGCGATTCGGAGAAGGTGACTTGCAGGCCCGTAGCCAGAATTTTTTAAACTCGGGGTCCCTTAAATAAGTCAGGGGGCACCCTGTGCATACCCCCCCCACACACACACACACAATCCAAGCAACCCGCCTCCCGGGGGGAAAGCCAGCAGTCTGCAGTCTGGACACACACGCCACTGGGTCCTTTCCATCCCCAACAGAGGGAGTCACTGCCTCCTATTCCCCCCTCATGCCAATACAGCCAGCCTATCAGCCCCCAGGCAGTGCTCACCCATTCCCCAGCCCCACATCCTTTGCCTACCGCCAACGCTCCCTCTAAGCTGTGGAGTCTTGTGAGCAAGAATTCTACTTTCTGAGCGACTGGCATTAAAGTTGTGAGCGAGCGACTTGGCTACTGCATGAACTAGTTTGCTCTGGAGCCAACCTTCCTGAGCTAAGACAAAAATGTGTGAGCCGGAGGCTAAAAAACACTGCCTGCCGCTGCTGTTGGATGCCCCCGGCCACTGGAGCCAGGCTCCCCACTTGCTCTGTCTGCCACTATCTTCCCACTGGCACGATGAGCTGGGACACTGAGCACAGAGGTGAGCCCAGCTGACAAGAGAGCGGGCGTGGCTGGCAAGAAGGCACCGCTGCAGCTAGTGACAAGCACCATAGACAAAATTTAAAAACTGGAAGTCAGGGGGCCTTGGTGGTAAGTCAGGGGGCTGGGCCCCAAGAGGCCCCACTGTAGCTATGGGCCTGGTGCCTTGGGAGGGCGGAGTCTGGGGAGGGAAGTCGGCAGGAATGTGATTCCACATACAGAGTCCACCCTCCAAACTTGCCATTTCCTCCAGGGAACCTGATACCTGTAGTCAGGAGATCAGTTATAATTCCGAGAGAACACCAGGCCCCACCTGGAGACTGGCAAACCTAATTGCAATATTCATACAATACATTGTATAGAGAATGCTACAGGGTCATTTGGTGGAGTCCCCATCACAACCTAAGGGACTCTAGGTTTGGCCTCCCTCCCTTGACAAACTACTTCCTTCATGTCAAAAATGAATTTCTGTTCTCTGGACCCCAGGGTTTAATTTTGCCATACACTACGTGCTGCAGGTCTTCCTTTCTTCAGCCCTTGACCACATTTTCAGCCCACTACTTTCCTAATCTCATTTTTTGTAGCCACTCTGTCTCTAAACCAGTTTCCTAATCGGATTGTCAGATTTGGTCTGATTATCATCATAGGGATGCCACCCTCTAGATCATGGGACCCTGGGATCTCCCGAAATTACAGCTTGCTTGGGAGGGTGGAAATGTCCAGGAATTTCCCAAAATGAAGCTGGCAACCCCCTCCCCCATTTATTTATTTATTAGATTTATACCTTGCCCTCCCCGAAGGCTCAGGGCGACGAACAAGATGGCATGAATGCCAACATTAAAACAGATAAAAACAGGATAAAACAATATAATTCAATCAAATAAAATATTGGTGCTCTAGATATCACGTCAATCATTTATCCCAAGATGGAGTTAATCCCAAACCAATGTATGTTCCAGTAGCACTGTCATCCCTTCTCAATCCAGGGTCATCTCACACCCCGATGGTACCCACATGGATGGTGGTGGGGGGTGCGATGATGTAGTAGTAACGAAGGTGGAATAGTGGTGGTGGCGGCTCCTACTCAAAAGCCTGGCGGAAGAGCTCCATCTTACAGGCCCTGCGGAACTGCGAAAGGTCCCGCAGGGCCCGGATCTCCTCCGGGAGCTCATTCCACCAGGTAGGAGCCGCCACCGAGAAAGCCTTGGCCCTAGTAGCAGCAAATTTGATGTCCCTGTGGCCTGGAATAACCAGGAGATATTGACTCCCCGACCGCAGTGCCGTTCGGGCAGTGGACCCAGCAACCCTACTTGTTACTTCCATTCTTGCAGAATGCCACAGCCCAGCTATTACAAAATCAACAACTGCTGTAGACGTGCCTTCTCCGTTGTGCCTTCTCACCTTATAAAACGGCCCACCTGAGGAGGTCAGGAAGGCTCCCCCTCTCCTGGCTTTCCGCAAATTGTGCAAAACTGAATTATTTAAGAGGGCTTTTCTATCCAGGCAATAAAGTTGCACAGTTCTAAATGATTCACAGTTACTTGGATGAATTGTTAGGGACTGTGGTCTATACCGCCATGTGTAGCTTGTTGAAACTGCTATGGAATTTTACGTCACTTAATTCTTGTTATGATTTGCTTCAGTTCTGTTTTTAGACTTCTGGTTGGTTCTGCAACCCGACTCCTATTGATTGTATTGACACACTCTGTGTAATCCGCCTTGTGTCCTAGTGAGAAAGGCAGACTATATATGACATAAATTAAAATAAATTTTAAAATGTTCCATGTCCTTTTCTGTCTTCCTTTGTCCTCCTGGCTGAGATTATCTTGCTGGGGATCCTGGAACCTCCATCCTACCTTGTCTGCTGCTATATGTGCCTGCAGTGACACACACTTTAGTCATTGAGAATCATGTTTCTGAACACAGTGCAATCCGTATTGTGTAAGCTGAACATGGAGAGAAGGCCTTTTATGGGAAATCCTATTACTTAAGTGACATGTGGGTAGAAAGGCTACCCAAAGTAAAACTGATACTTGCCCCACAGTACATCGGTCTAAAAACACAAACAGAGCAGAGGTCCATCAGTGGCTATTAGCCACAAGATATAGATAGGACTGGAGCTGCGGTGGCTCAAGTGGTTAAGATGCTGAACTGCAGGCTGTGGAAGGTCAGTAGTTCAGCAGTTCGAGATCTGAGTGCCGCATGACGGAGTGAGCTCCCGTCTCTAGTTCCAGCTCCTGCCAACCTAGCAGTTTGAAAGCAAGAAATTGAAAGTAGATAAATAGGTACCACTTCGGTGGGAAGGTAACAGCATTCCGTGAGCCTCAGTGTTTAGTCATGCCGGCCACATGACCATGGAAACGTCTTCAGACAACACTGGCTCTTCGGCTTTGAAATTGAGATGAGTACCGCGACCCTAGAGTCAGATTCGACTGGCTTTCGAGCAAGGGAACCTTTACCTTTTTACCTATAGATAGGAACTCTTGGTCTGGGTCAAGTGATGCTCTGTTGGTACTGGGGGGGGGACAGTGGGAGGGCTTCTAGTGTCCTGGCCCCACTGCTGGACCTCCTGATGGCTCCTGGTATTTTTGGCCACTCTGTCACAGAGTGTTAGACTGGATGGGCCATTGGCCTGATCCAACATTGGCATCTCTTATGTTCTTATGCTCTACATGTGCTACACGCCTGAGAGCTTTACCCTGGGACACATCTGCATTGGTGATTTATGACAAATCGATTGGGACACAAGGGACCCCGTAACATACGCTTTAGCTTTGCATTCTGCCATTCACATCAAATACGCAAAGACAATATTAGAACCAAAGGTTAGGAAGATAAAGTGAGGGGGGGGGAGAGAATGAATGTAACTAAGACACAAGAAGAAAAGTATCATCGTTTTACACAATAGATTCAGTTTTTCCTTTATATGTTTTACATGTATAGACAAGAACCTTGGCATTTGATTAACCAGGCTACTTGCATTTTTTTTGGCATATGCTCTCTGGACTACAGATTTGCACACTGGTTGGTCATATGAGTCTGCTAGTTCAATATTTTTTGGGGGTGATTTCATTTTACCTTTGCAGGAACATTGTTATGCAGGTACAGTATTTGAACACTGAGATACATATCAGGTTAAAAGGTTGTTTGCATCATGATCAGCAGACACAGTTCACAGGAATCCAATCCTGGGGTAGCCTCAAAAGATTCTAAACAGATTTGTGCAGCAATATCCCTTCTGTTTCTGGAGGGGGGGGAAGACTCTCATAGTTGCATAGATTCCAATCCAATAGCCTCTTTGTCCAGATGGCAAGCAAATTCGTGGAGCTCAGGTTAAAAAAGTCAGAGGAAGCCCACATGGGTGCCACACATCCCTGAAGACATACAGAGGAAACAGCATTGTCGTTTTCATCAGGCTCATGAGCAGCAAGTAACTTTTTTGTTGGGCACGAGTCACGACCTGTCAACCGGGCCACTGAAATCCTAGCCAGGGCGTATCTTGCAAGCCAGACTCAACAAAGAGATGGGGGGAAGCTCAATCCAGCACTGTTGCTGTGCCTCTACAGCAAAAGGCACCGGGGCTTAACGTGAAGGAATTGGGTGAGAGATGTCATTGGATTTCCTGACTACAAGGTTCCGAAGAAGCTGTTGGGAGGTGGATGGGAATCAGGACTACAGGTGGGTTCCCCCATGCTGTTCTTGCCATCAGAATTGCTATTGTCTCCAAGCTGCTATCAGAGGTAGAAGGAGAAGACCAATATAGGTATGTTCTTGGGGAAGGGGAAGTACATTGTTGATAAACTGTGCAGTGGAAAAGGTGGAACTCTCCTCCCCACATCCCTTCCCATCCTTCCGCATTGCTGCAGTCACGATCCGATTTGAAACCTCTAACAAAATTTGGATCATGAATCTCCCATCATGTAACCTACAGTTTGGCTGTTCAGGAGCCATTTGATCGCTTTGAAGCAGCAATGGTCCCAGTGCAGTTCTGGAAGCATGGGCAGCCCTTGGGCATCTCAAATGCAGCTTAGCCAGCAAGACAATAATATATTTTACATGCAGAATGTTTCATGTTCAGTCCCACTCCCCAGCATCTCCAGTTCAGAGAACATAAGAAGAACCCTTCCTTTCCAGTGGTCCATCGAGTCCAGCATCCTGTTTCACACAGCAGCCAGAACAGTTACCAAAGCAGGCCTTCTCTTGGCACTGCCTCCTAGCATTGGTATACAGAGGTTCCCTATCTCCCTTTAGTTCCCATAGCTAGCAGCCACTGACAGACATCTCCTCCATAAATACGTCTAATTCCATCTCAAAGCCATCAGTGCCTGTGGCCATTGATATGTCCACTGGCAGTGAATTCCACAATCTAATTATTTGTTGAGTAAAGCATTTCCTTTTGTCTGTCCTGAATCTATTGTCCATCGACGTCACTGGCTCGGGTAGTCGATGATGTGAAAGACCGCTATATGAAACCCTGGAGAACCATTATGCGTCAGCCAGTGAATGTAGGCCTTGATTGACCAATGGTTTCAATTTTCATGCGTTCAGCACTGATGTACTGTGCATGTGCCTTGTTGCCTACCACCTGTTGTGATGCCTGAACTGCCACAACTTGTGATTTTAACTCAAGACTTTTTAGCTAGTTTGTTGTAACCGTCATTTGGTCTAATTGTTATTTGTACTTGGGAAATTTGAATTCAAAATCCATATTTTGTTTTAGAACTCATCTACCAGGGCATAGAGATGGCAGTAGAGGGAAGGTCTCCTCCCTGCTGGGTGGCAAGAGAGAAGCAAGAAACAGATCCATTGGGGTTTATGCACAGACTTATATTTGTTACTTCACTCCTGGTAGACGTACCAAAGTTTGTTGCCCAGGCCATTTAAACAAACTACAGTTTACCTTGATGTCTGCAAGCAGGGTCTTAGGCTCAGTTCCAGGCAATGGGATGGGGGAAAGTTGCCTACCTGAGATCTTGGGAAGCTGCTGCCCATCTAGGGTTGCCAGCTCTGAGTTGGAAACTTCCTCGAGATTAGGGGGTGGAGCCTGGGGATGGTGAGGTCTGGGGAGGACAGGGACCTCAACGGGGTATACTGCCATAGAGTCCACCCTCCAAAGAGCCATTTTCTCCAAGGGGATTGTTCTTTGTCACCTGGAGATCAGTTTTAATTCTGGAAGATCTCCAGGCACCACCTGGAGGTTGGCAACGTTATATCCACCAAGTGCAGTCTACACAGGCCAAAGATCTGAGGCCACGCATTGAATCCTGTGAGGCCCTTCAAGAAGGCTGGTTGCCCTGGATTCGAAGGCTCAAAAGCCTTGCAAACTGGTTTGGATGCAGAGTTGATAATAAAGGTGCCAGTCCTAGTCCCAGTCCATCTGGGACTAGGAAGAAGGCATTGCTGGCTGGAGGCTGTTATTTCCCAAGCAGTCCTGAGCCTCAGCATCAGCGGCGGTGACAAGGCTGCAGCTTAATTTCTAAAATGCATGGTAACTTGTGCATTTCAGACTTTTCAGCTCCAGCCTTGTCCCTTCCCCAGGCGCATGCGGTGTTGAATGGAGTATATGAGGCAGATGATCGGCAGGCCCCTGTGACTGGCACAGTTTTCAAGGGCTGATGAGGGGAGAGAAGGGAAGGGAAGGAGCTGATATTTCAGTGTTCCCATCCACAGCACAGTGGCGAAGGAAATGTTAAGATTTTATTAAGGGCTCTACAACAGCGGAAACAAACCAAGGTACAAACACGGAGTCTATACTGACAAGTAGGCCATCATGGTTAGGTTAGTACCAGTTTTATGAAGTACTAACTTTCACATTAAGAAACCCGAAACTAGAGCACCAATCGGGTCAGAATAAGGGATGAGGTACGACATGTGCCACAGAGTCACAAGATTTCTCACAAAATTATACAAGATCAGCCAAGTGTGGGAAGGCTCAGACCATGGGTGAAGACAAGTGTAATTCTTTTAACAGTGGGGGCTGCTCACTGCATTCAGTCCAAATATCCCTTTCCTCTGCAAAGTCAAGTTCTGGAGGGAGAAACAGTTTTGTAAATTTGAAGCAAAAACTGGCTGTACAGAGGTCTGCTTGGGTGCTCCCTTGTGATATCACCACAAGCCTCTTCCCATTCTCCAAAGCAGTCAAAGTAAAGTTTTTAAAAGGATAGAAAATGAAGCAATGCTTTATGTTAAACAAGTGAATAACCTGCTGTGACGGACTGTGCTGTAAAAGCTCATAAGTGCTGTGTAAACATGTGAAGGACTGTGATGGGTTAATGCCTCACAGAGCCAGAGCGCCTTGAGTGACAGGCTGCTCAAAGGGATTTCATTGGTTAGTGTCAGGAGTTGAGCAGAAAGACTTGGGAACTGACTGCTGAAGAGAACTCAGTTTAGCTGTGACTGAGAACAGTTTAACACTGACTGAGGACTGGGAAGGTAGGCAAGGAGGAGTGGGAGGATCGGTGAAGACCCCCATTCAGGACAGAAAAAGGGATAGATCTTCTAGTTAGATAAGTGAAAAGGACAGCTCAAAGACTGGAGTGATCCCTGGTGTGTTTAGAAAAGAAACTTGGGTACTTGGTAGTATATCCCTGCCTTCTGAAACCTGAAGAGTCAGATAAACTCAAGAAAGTGAACTGAACTGTTTAGGAAACACTGAAACCAAGGCTTCTAATCTCAAAGATTCTAAGACTGTGTGAAAAGCTTAAGAACTCTCACTTACTGGAAACATACAAACTGGAGTTTGTGATTATAATAAATCACCTTGGAGTTATATTGGATTCACCACAGACATTTTACCCCTGATTTCACCTGAACTTTTCCCCTCTACGTTGAATAAAACATTTTGTTTATTTTTGAACTTTAAAAAGCCTCTCGTGTGCCATTTTCAGAAGTTTAAGTTAAAGAGGGTGATCTTGTCTCTTCCCTCAAGTTCCTGGGCTGAGCCAGCATCAGAATATAATACTGTCATTGCCCCACCTCTTGTGGGCAGCAGATGAGCATCCCGATGTTACATCACCCCCTGAGGACTGAGATTCCATCACCTGTCCCCATCACAGTCCCAGCTGGTCGTGGCAAAGAGCAGTAGGATCAGGATACGTTGGTGACTAAGTACTGAGCCAGGGGTGCTGAAGGCATCTCTCAGCTGGTGCCCTTCTTGCTGGTGCATACTCCAGCATTGGCAGGAGAAAGTTGGTAAATGGGGCTGCCTGGTTCTTCGGCCACTGGTATTTATCAGTGAGGAGATGATACAAGTCGTAGGAGGAGATCCTAGATAGCCGCAGAAGGGCACCTGCCAATCAAGACAGAAAACATTGACTGCATCATTCTTTAAAGAATAGAGAGATGCCACGTCTTCTATGTAAATATAAATAAATAATAAAAATAATACATAAAAGCACAACTGGTGTGTGTAAAGTGCTGTCAAGTCACAACCCCAGGAAAGTGGCTGTCAAGGCAAGTGAGAAAAAGCAGGATAGAAAATAATAAAATAATCACAATACAGACTAATACGGACACAGCCCTCACAACACATTCAAAATCTAACTCCAATATCCATAAAAAGTTAGTCTAGCAAAATGTAAACAATCCTAGATGAGCACATGATTGTCAGAAGAGCTTGGTCAGTAGGATTAGTCTCTAAAGGCTCACTTGAAACAAAACCCACCAACACAATGTCTTGAAGCTAGCTAGAGAAAGTGCCTCATGTACCTCTTCTGGCAGATCAAGGGTAGGGGCAACCACTAAGAAGGCAGCTGAACTGACAGAGGCCAGAAGTACTTCTCTGAAGGCATGATCTACAGCAGGAGAAGTTGGGTAGACATCAATTGGTGCATGCATGTGCCTATGCAGGAAATGGGCCACATTCCTCTTGATTGTGACCAAGTATGGTGAAGTGTTTACAGTGTCATATTAGGGCTGGGGGAGACCCAGATTTGAATCCCTGCTCAACTGCGGAAATTTGTTGGCTGACCTTGAACTGGACATACACTCTTAGCTTAAGCTACCTCACAGTGGTGCTGTGAGGACAGAGGATGTGTGCTATCCTAAGAGATAATTTTGCCAGCCAAATTTAAAATTGAAGGCTTCCAGCCGGGTAGAAAAGAGGACTGGTTTGCTACCACTATAAATATTAATACAGTGTTCATGGAAAGCATTTAAACCAGCATAATACAGAAGGCTTTTGCACCTAGTTAAAGACGACAGAGACTAGCTTGCTCCTAATATAAACACTTGAAATGGAACCAGAAGATAATCTGAATAAAGAAGTTAAGCATTGGTTTGCTCCTAACATAACACTGAACCATATCAAGAGGCCAACACCTTTCAATACAATAGGATTACTCCTGAGGAAGACTGGGACGAAATGAGCTTATATCCGGGTGCTCATTGAGAACGATGGACTTTTCCTTGTAATATTGTAAAGTTTTATTTATAATGTAATATGATCTTTACTAAATGTCCTAGTCATTCATATCACAGTGTTTGCTTGTTTGCTGTATTCCCTATATGGATACCTGTGATCCCTTCTTGGTTTTTTCAACCTCCAGGGGGTGGCTGGAGACCTCCTGGGATTGCAACTGATCTCCAGGTGACAGAGATCAGTTCACCTGGAGAAAATGGCTGCTTTGGGAGGTTGAATCCATGGCGTTCTACCCCACTGGAGTCCATCCCCTCCCTGAACTCTGTCCTCCTCAGGCTCCATCCCCCAAATCTCCAGGTAATTCCCAACCCAGAGCTGGCAACCCTACCCATACTGATCCCTACAGTTCTTTGGTTTCCTGTTGAGCTAAACATGTGAGCCATGTGACAGACACACAGACATAATGAGGCTTTGCTCATTCCACTATCACACCAGGCAAATGCAGAATTTAACATGGCATGTGACAGGAAGGGCATTTCATGCAACTGCACACACTCATTTGCAAATGAGTCCCATCCTCATGTTCACATTCTCACCTTTTCTGCTGAAGAAGCCCGATGCCTGCTTCCAGAACAAAGCAATCTGGGGTGGAATTTTGCCTAGAAGTTCAATGATCCGAGCCACGTGATCTAAAACGGACGGAAAGCAAGGTGCCAGGTGTAATTCTGCAAGCATCTGTATTTCCTTCAACAGAGTCACAGAAGACAATCTAGATTCTGCCTTACCGTCATCTCTAGAGAAATACCGTCCAGCCTGAGGTTCAAAGAGATGTTCTCCGGTTGCCAGCTCAAAAGCCTGCAACATGAAACAGGCCTCGAGTCAGTGAGCTACGAGCCCAAGTAGACCTGGCATCCAAACAAGGTCTACAGAAATATCTCTAGAAACTTAAGTGAGGTGTTTGAATTCCCAGTTCCAATCTGCGAAGCAGGAGCTCAGAGTGATGAAAGTACTGGACAAAGGACACTTGGATTCAAATCCCATCTCAGCCACAAAGCTATTGGGACAGTCATTCTCACACAGCCTCGCCTACCTCACAGGGTTGTTGTGAGGACAAAATGGACGAGGGAAGAACAATGTACGCTTCCTTGGGCTCCTCAAAGGAAGGACAAGATACAAAACATGACAGCTGTTTGCCTGTAGCAAAACCTGTATCCCTTAAAGAGTACGTGAATCTGAGAGATCTCTTTGCATAAGGTGCATGGAATCAGAGGGGTACTCCGCACTTCTTCCTGCAAGCTCAGCTTCTTTTAAAAATCTCCCCTGGCATGCTTTGCCTCTGCCACAAATTTAACTATTTGTTAATCACCTGTCACATTTTTACTCTGCCCTTTCTCCAAAGAATAAAAGGCAGCAACTGTGGTTCTCAGGTGTTTTGGGACGGCTCAAAGATACATGGTGAATGTCATGGCTGAATGGAAATTTGAGTCCCGATTCTTGCCAAACCAGTAGGCCATGCCAGATTTGAAATGACCAGGGGTGTTTCATACTTTTTAACGCACAAGGATTGTAAGACTTCTACCTTGGGGACGGAAAGTGCCATCAAGTTGCTGGCCTTAGGGTGACCCCCAAAGGGTTTTCAAGGCAAGAGATGAATTTTGGTGATTTGCTACTGCTTGCCTCCAGGGCTATTTTTGGGCAGGAACGCACAGGAACGGAGTTCTGGCTGGCTTCCAAGTTGGCCACACCCAGCAGGAACTCATTAGCATAATAGGCCACACCCAACAGCAGAAACTCATTAGGATTGGCTACATTAGGGGTGTGTGGCCTAACATGCAAAGGAGTTCCTGCTACAAAAAAGCCCTGGGTAAACAGAATAAGAAGCAAGAGGTGGGTGTGGCTGGATGAGCACACTTCTGGTAACATGGGGGTGCGGCCTAATATGCCAATGAGTTGTGCTGTCAAGGGTGTGGCCTAATATGCTAATGGGTTTCTGCTGTTGGGTGTGGCCTGTTATGCTAATGAGTTCCTGCTGGGCTTTTTCTACAAAAAGAGCCCTGCTTGCCTCTGTGTAGCAACCCTGGATTGCCTTGGTGGTCTCCCACCCAAGCGTGTATTAATGCAGCCGCTTCAAGTTTTGAGTTCTTCTA